CTGATACATTTTTATTACATATGGGTATAACTAGTCATCAACATTGCAGTATTTTTAATTCATTTTAGAGTTTTTTTTGTTTTTGTTTTTTTTACAATGGTCAGCTCAGATAAGATGGATCAGTAAGAAGAGAAGCTGCTCCCAGGATGAGCGTGAATGGATTTCTTTGTGTGCAATGAGCATCACTTTAAGTGGCTTCAATGGGGAATGAAAACACAGGCACACTCTGAAATCCTTATTACAGTATAAAGAAGACGAAAACAAAAACTGAATTAGTTAAGCTCTTGTGTATTGAGCTTCAGCATCATCTGGCCAGAGCTTATGTCAGCCTCCGGCTGTGCTTCTCTGTGAATACATCTAGTCATGAAGAATTACAGCTTCTGATTTTACAAAAACTTTCCTCAGAAAGAAGTGAAGAATCATCAAATATAATTTATCTCGGAGGAGGCGGCGAAGGAAGGCGTTTAGATTTTTTAAAAAAAGAAAAGATTGAGAATACACAAATATTTATTTTCCACAAACAAGGGAATTCTCCAGATAATTTTCAGAGACAGAAACAAAAGAAATAGGCTGCAGTCCATTACAGATTGTTAAGGAAGGATATTTAAATTAGTTAATTTTGGAAAAAGATTGGCTTTCTCTCTTCCTTTTGGATCCCAGGTCCTCCCGGCGGGCCGCGTGTGGCCACAAGGAAAACAACAATGCGTGTTGACATCACAGAATTATAGAGTTTAATCCAATATAAGACAACGCATGAACTTACACAGAAACTGCAGAACAACGAAGACATACATTCATTTACCTGACATAAATGGAAAGAATAAGGAAAAAAGAAAAGACGTCCAAAGACGTCTTTGGAGAGTTGCAAGAGCAAAATCTAATTTGTTACTCTGTGTGGAAAGTTTTATCTTCTTTTCTTTAATTTATTCAAATAAGGCGTATCTTTGCTCATCCAACCAGGAGCCATCTCTGACCCTTTATCTGAAGCCAGGAACTCCTGCCGTGTTTACGGCTTTTCACTGATGAGTGTGAAAAGCTACAACTTCTCCTCAAACGATCCTAGCAAACCATCTGCTGTAACTACAGGTAAAATAAAGGTGAAAAAGCTAGAATACGTTACTGATTTTAAAACCACAATTAGGCTATTTGAATCAAAACATGTTAAGTTTTAAAACTAGCTTATTTCAAATTTATTTTCTTAACAAGATCTAAAGTAAACCACAGTGTTAGCCTCTAACAAAGACTAGTTGGCTTGTTAAGCTGAACTTCACACCTCAACTACCTTGTCAGGCGAGCTGCACTGACGGTGGCTTGAACAACAAGTAAAACGCTCTGTAATCTCGCAAGATGTTGCCAGGAGCTTCCTGGGAGTGAAGGTGGGAGTCAGCCAAGTAGGATGACACATTTGGAGCCTATAAACACCACAACAACACGTGTTACCGAGTTAAGATACAATTGTTAGTTTTAGCTTCCTGCAGCACAAGGATGAAGCTGCTATTCTGAGAGTAAAAAAGGGACCAGATGTTGGAATGCATTTTCTATGAGCTGCTCTTAATGTAGGTAGACAGGAATCCTGTTATTATGGAAGCACCAGATGCAGCTTGTAGTGATGGAAGACGGGCGGGGAAATGAATCAGGATAATGAGACGGAATGAGGAGGGTGCAGATTTTTATAAATAAACTCTACATGTCTCTTGGTGTTAATCAGATCAAAGATTTAAATTTGATCCAAGCGACACTGATGTGGGGGAAAAGGAAGTGGATAAACGTAAATAACCAAATAAAATATAATTAGGTTTCATGGCACTAAAGGCAGCTTCCCTGCTGATTTTGAAATTGCTACATATTAAATGAAGTGGGGGGGGACGGGGGTTCAGTACATTATTGCGAAAGCCTGATGAAAACGAGCTTCCTTTGAGTTGATAAGTGCATTAATGAATGCTTCTATAAGAGGAAAAGAAACCGACTCTAATTTGTTTATTGCAGTTTTTTTTTTTTTTTTTTACATAACTTATATGTTATTTGCAGGCTGGTCAGACCTCAGCCTCACTGAGCAGTTGATTTTGACACATCTTTACAAGCCGACGCCTTTAAATCTCCGTTACAACAGGAAGTCAAAGTAACTGAAGCGGAAACATTAAAGAAAGCTAATTTCGCTCCTACATTATAAGGCAGGATGTTGGTGTAAAATCTTTGCAGATGTATGTGTGCACTCATGACAAGTGCTGCCCAGCAGCTTTTTAAAGCCAGCAATTGGAGGGGTGGGGGGAGTCTGGCTACAACGCCTCATGCCCATGTTGTAAGAGCATAATCAGACATGGCGTCAGTTAACAGCGCCAGCACATGCAGTCCATCTTTCACTGCACCCTTGGCCCGAACTTCAAGGCTGCTGAAAGAGGGGAACATGTGTAGGACCGTGCGAGTGGGCCATATGCTCACCGACACGACAGCGGGTGGTTGGGGGAAGAGTGTGATTTTTTTTTTAGTTTTTTTTTTTTTAGTTTTTTTGTGTCGGTGTAATCTCCTGATTGTGTGGGGTCGACTTGACGGCTGTGCCTGCTGGTGAACGAGCGACATGATCTGAAACAACAGGGATTGAAGCTCAGAAGCCAGGCCCGCCGTGCTGTCAAATCTGACCCCTTACGCTTCTTTGCTCCGGCGCTAATGAAGAAAACCGCCTTGAGGAAGGGTTGGAGCCTTAAATCTCTTCAAGGTTACAGAAACTTTACTGACAGGTGAGATGTGTTACAGACCAGAAAGCGGTGGGATCGGAAGAAAATGAACGCTTTGACAAAGGCTTTTGGAGAGCATTAAATTATTCAATATTTTATTCAAAGACGGTTAAATGAAATGCAATGAAATGGGCTCAACAAACAGCCAACAAATATTTCATAATCGAACTAGTGTAGTTTGATCTCCACCTTTTCCATACAGATGGAAATTTAGATGACAGAACGCTTATTTAATTTTGTAGATTTAACCTTTGGATTAGGATATTTATGAATCTGTCAAGCCAGTACAGGTTTGTGGGTAGGAGAGGTTTAGCACCGGAGTGCAAAAGACCATAAAAAGGCTGGAGACAGCTGATTTATGCCACTTGCATTGCCACTGCAACAGAAAATATTGCAAAGACTCTCCAATAATGAGATGACTTAACAGCATGCTATATTTTGCAGACATGGTGGCTGCATTCAGAAAGGTTCTCGCCACTCTGTCTTCCAATACTCTGAGTGGCTGAAACGGCAGGGAAGCTGGGATCATTCTATGATTACTTCAGCTAATAATTATATGACTACCTGGGGCATTCGTGGATTATGTATGCATCACTGAACTCTCCTAAATGTCCTGGCACAGTAGCACATTGTAGATTTCACACCCTTCATTACAATTTGCATTTCCTGCATTTGTATATCGTCAGAAAAGCAAAATGATTTTTGAAATTTTGACCGAGAGGCAGCTCAATAATACCAAGTTTGCATTGTCACAATGTTTTTGAAACCTTTTACAAAGTCCTGATTCTTTTGAAATATATCAGCTGACATACTTCTCACCCACATAAATTGAAGTAAGAAAAAAAAAAAATATGAGTTGTGATTTCAGTTACCAGTATGATGGTGTGAGATAAAAGTAAGGGGTACGCTTATTTTCTGAGGTCTGAAATGAGGGGAGAGTTACGTGTCATGAAAATTGTATTGCAAAGACTCCCTGTGTGTGTGTGTGCGTGCGTGTGTGTAGGAGCTGAACTGCTTCCTTAGACACAGCACTCACCAAGCTCCCACCTGACAGGGAAAATGTGTCTCTTTTTTTGTTTGTTTTTTTGCACCAAGCATCAAAAGAGAAAAATGCAGAGTATCTATCGCTCACTCCCCTTGCAGAACGCTGTCAAACGACATCAGGAGGAGCTGTGCTCTTCAGGCAGAAAAATCAGCGTTGCTCAGTTGACGGTTTTCAAAAAGCGAGCACCGCTCACATTTATGGCCACATCTGAGAAAAGGTATAATCAGTAAAAGGAACGCGACCCTATAATTTTATTAACTTTTGTAAGTGTTAGATATTATATATTTAGTTTATTTTATAAACTATTATGCAGGTCTATATCTTTTCACCATCAAATCGAAGATGAGAATAAAACACGGGGATGGGATGGGAGGAGAAAAGAGGAAACTAGTCTATGAGGCCAGCTTCCCTTTGGCGCCAGTCCAAGCGCTAGTTTGTGTGGGCGGGGCACCAACTGATGCAAGGATTTTCCACTGTGCCCTAAATGCCACATGCAAAGTTCACACGCAGAGACATCTCTAATTTCCAGTCCACCCTGCCACTTTTCAATAACACCTATCAAACCCCTTAAGTGGTGGGAGTTTGCTGTGCATTGCAGAGATTGGCTCGCTTCCTTTTACTCATCTATCCATCACTCTCTTTCTGTCCATCCATGCATGAATTTTGCTCGTCTGCTCTGCTCTAACAGGTCTCCATTGATCATCGCATTTTCTCTTCAACTTTAATCAAAAGGCTGGGAAATTCTGTTGTTTAATTGATGAGACTCAATGAGAGTCTCTCTCAGCAGTTCCCACAGAACCGGCTTAAATTTATAATTAATAAACCGCTGCTAATTATCCGAGCACTGCTCCGCACAAGGCACGTCCTATATACAGAGAGAAGAAAAGAGAAGAAGGAGACTGAGGAGGGAAGGGGAAATGGAGTCGGGAGGAAAAATGTCAGGAACAAGAGGCAGAGTGGGATTTGCAAAGTTTGTGGTGGAGAAGGATGAGACGATGAGAGCCGTCACCTGTGGCTGCCTTCCATAATCCATCTCAATTTCATCATTTCTCTCATCTCCCGCCGCATCACAAACTTCCTCCACCCATTTTTATCTTCCTATCAAAAAAAAAAAAGACCTAGAACTTTTATGGGCTTTGAGAGAACAGAAAGAGAAAAAGAGTCATCTGCAAAGACAGGAAGAAGAATTTTTTTTTTACTGATTTGAGAAGGAATAATGTATAAGAGGCGCATATGCTTATTAATTCATCCTCGCATGCATCTTTGCACCAAGCGTCTCTTTAGAGTTTATTTTTGAAATGCTGGAAAAAAAAAATGTCTTGGAGTCTCCAGTTCAAGTGAGCTTCACACACGGGGATGGAGACTGGATGGATGGAGCGGCAGTCTGTAATAATGCTTCATCTGGATGTGGATTGACCTGCCCGTCTCCCTACAGTCGCCTAATGCAGATTGATAAATGGGTGGACTGGTGCTGGACAAGGGAGTGAGGAGAGCCTGCAGGGGAGCAAAGCGGGACGACGCATCATGAGTTCAGAACAGCCACGGCTTCTCATTGCAGCGAGAAGTGTGACTAAAGAGATGCAAAGAGAGGCATGAGTTTGACTTATTACTTTTTTTTTTAGTATATTTAAGGAGACTAATCAGGACTCTATTACAGTAGGAGACTCTTGCACTTACTGAACTCGGAATCGATCTTCCTGCAACATGTGATTTAAATCACCATTATAGACTTTTTACCCTTATGTGATTTCACCACATTTCACTGCAAACATTTGGCAATATGTTAGCCATAGTCAAACTGCTACGGTTTCACAACAACAAGTCTGTCAAACCATTGCTTTGGTTTAAAGTTTTTGTTTTTTGTTTATTTTTTAATGAGCTGTCAGTTTTCTCCACCAATAAACAGAAGAACCCAACACTGTCCCTCACACTCTGGTCACTGGCAAAAATGAGAACTTCTAGAAGTTTTGGTCACTTATTAAAAAAAAAAAAAAAAAAAAAAAAGTTAAAAAAATGGTTTGGAAAAGTTACTCTTGTATAGGAAAAGCCGTTTTAAAACCGCAACATTACCGAGTTAAAAGCCAAATATTTGTTAAGCAGTTGACTGCAGGCTAGCAGCCAGAGAAGACAGCCTGACTAATTAAAAACACTAATAAGCTCGTTATCTTTGTAGAACAGAAAAGGCTATAATTCTGTAGAACAGGCACTTTGCAAACTACTACAACAATTATAGATAAGAGCACAATTATAATATTCTAAATGTATTACTTTAGCAACAGTTGGAATAATTCTGGCTTGTGCATGAAAATAAAAAAATAAAAAATAAAAACTAGATACAACTTTTGTTTTAAAAATTTGTTTCAATACAGTGAACCCATGGTACTTCTAATCAAAGTTATTACATCATGAGAATTTAGTATAAATTAAAGTTTAAATTGAAATGGATTGTTACAGGTACCAACAACTGTTAATTTTGTTTTTCCCCACTGAATAAATGCATTCATTTTAACGGGTACAACTATTGTTACTGTAGTAAATTATAGATTTAAGACTTTAATGCATGTTTGTTGTTCAGAACCAAATGCCTGTTAATGATTTATCATCTTCGTGTCTTTTTATGCTTCAAACTAAGTACCGTTGCTTTTCTTTTCTTTTTAAATCTAATCTCGGCCCTCTACAAGAAGCTAAAAAAAAAAAAAAAAAAAACGGTTCAAGCTGTGCGAGTGCAGCGATTAAGCTCGAGGGTGGATTTGAACTTGGGTACCAAAGGTTAAGATTGCTCCACATTGAGCGAGAGTCCCCACAAAGACGGGAATGTGCGTTTGAACAGATTCGCAGACAGAAATCTATAACAAGCTTAAGCTCTTTAAATCAATACCATAAACAGTAAGAAATCCATGTAGTGACATTCACAGAATGAATAAACTGCAGCTGCTTTGCCGTATTAATTGGCCTCTCATTTCTGTTAAACCAGCAGATGCAACTATTTATCTAATTTAAGGCAATTCTGATGGTGTACTTTGGCTAGCCACGAACAAATTAACAGATTTACTGGTTTCCTTTTGCCTATAAAACCCCCATTTTATGATTCAAAATATAACTCCAGGTTTATTTTAACAAGCTGGAAATATTATTATTATTAACTTTTACAATGAGATGTTTTGAGGATTAGCACATTGCTTTCGGTGCCAGCTAGTACTCCTCCTGCTGTTCGCACAAGTTTTTTTTTTTTTTTTTAGTTAAAATCTAACCTTTTACACTGGCCAGAGCCAGAACGGGATTTTATCTTTTAAGCAGCTGACCCAGCCTAAGTTTTTCTTTTTTTGTTTTACAATCTTTGAACACTGCTTAAATTGACCTGATGGATATGAATGTTTTGTCATGATCAGTCAGTCTCGACTGCCCAGCACTCCCACTTTAAATTCTTATCCAGAGATTAAATTACAAAGTCTCGCAGACACACCTCACGCTTCCTCTACCGTCTTGGCTCTGGTCCATCTCTGCCTCCAGCATGATTCAGGCCTCTCTGTATCCCGAAACTCCCCCAGATCATCCATGTTGCTCTTTTTCATGCTGCAGATATTTTAGCTGCCCCGGCAATCCTGTCAATCTTCAAAACAAAACATACTTAGCTAATCGTTTTTTTGTTTTTTTACAGTGCCTTGCAAAAGCATTCATATGTTATTAAATGCTTGGCCTGTTAACCCATTACGACCAGTAATTTTAATGTATTTTATTTGCTCCACTTAGCTTTTTATTACTCCACTGCAAAATGGAGTAAATATGGGACATGGCTTTATAATTGTTTTTAATACTAAAAGTCTGAAGTATGTTATTCATTCAAAGTTGGACACCTTTATTCTTGTACTCCTTAATAAAATCCAGTGCAACCAATTGTCCGAGTGGCGAGGAGAAAGCCGCTATTGAAAGACGGCCATTAAAAGTTTGATTTGCGGTTTTCACAGCAAACATGTGGAACAGACACTTTGGTCAGATGAGACACCAAATGCACTTTTTGAAATGAGTGTGGAAAGGCATGAGAGTCAACAAATACCCTATGTAATAATAATCAAAATAACTGAATCAGATTGGATATTTTCCATCCAATTTCATTAAATTTAAGCTAATTTGAAAAGAAGGCTCGACAAAAAGTTTAGCCTCTAAATGGGAAAAGAAAAAACAATCTGCACCATCTTGCATTGATCAGTCACATAAAATCAAATAAAATGCATTAAGGTTCGGGGTCACGTAAGAACTTGTGAAAAGGCTCACATGATACAACTAGTTTTGCAACTTTAAATGATAACCTGGAGTGTCTTCACTGAAATACAAGACTAAGAGAAAGGAAGAGACAGGAACAGGAGACCCCTCACTCTCTTCTATCAGTCTCCGCGACCCACTCATGTAGCCTTGCTCCTTCCTCTCAAATGACACTCTAATGGTTTAAATGGTACATTCCCCTTGAGATCTAGGGTGGACTGGGGCCAAGGTGAAGGGGCCAGCTGACAATTTATGAGTCAACTAAAGGTCACTGGTAAGCCTTGCTCTGCAATTAGGAAGCTTCTCTGAGCCGCAGTAAACAAAAATGCACTCACAGATACATAATTGTGCAGCATTTTTTCAAATGAATTCGTATGTCACACATGAAGTTTTTTTTTTTCTTTATTTATTTTTTTTTTTTCCAAAGGAGCACAAATCAGAAAGAAGAAAAAATATTCATCACTGCAATCTGCAGACTCCAGACAGGACTAGATAAAATGGTATCTCCTATGACAAGCTGTACTCCCACTGATTCTGTCACTGTTGTGCAGAGAGAGGAAAAAATGAAGCAGTGAATGTGTAGGAACCTTTTCTTTTAACTGTGCTGTGGAAAAACGTTCTCTCTCTGTGTGTGAAATTAAAAAGAGCCCAAGTGTACCTTCTCTATCTGCTACACGGAAAATTTGTAATTTGAGCGAGCAAATATTATTTCTCTGTGTCAGAGCTAATGTGTTACAGTTTGTTCAGAAGCTGTCTGTTCTCCTGCCTTGGAGCAGGGTTCATACTTCTGCACCTTGTACTGACGGCAGTAAGGCCCTGTTCATGCTGCTCCTAAAAGCACAAGAGGAGTTTTGATACTTTGGTATATTTCACACTAATTTTACCGTTTCATTGAAAAGAATACTACAAGTCAGACATGCGAGTACAAGACATGTGCCGATGTGGATTTGTCAGTAGGAGATGCATGGAGAGTCTCAGTCCAGAACTGTAGCAAAACCATTGTATGCATGAAACGGGTGTTTCATCCCAACCAACGTTGCAGCGACCTGTTGGTGTTATGAAGAACGCTACAGTGCATTGAAAAAAGAACTTATTCACATTTTGCAACATTACAACAGATTTCATTGTGAGCTGGAAGAAAACTTGGAAAACAATTTTTTTAAAAAAAAAAAAAAAAAAAAAAATCAATTTGAAAAGTGCAGCAAGCATTTGTATTCAACTCCCTTGGGTGTGATGCCCCAAAATAAAATCAGATTTTGGTTGGTACTTCTATTCCCAGTAAAATACTTTGTAGAATGAAGTTTGTTGTTCTAGCACTGAAAAAATGTTAAGGGATGTAACAAAAGGGTTGTAAATAAGATACACTTAAATTTCATGACATTGCGTCATTTGAATCATTTTTATATAAAGATGGCCTCTGCCTGGTACATATTGCTACTGTTTTTAACTCACCAAGCAGTTAACTCTGTATAAATAACATGCTAGTGCTAGCTGGGCAACCATGTTCATCATCTATTTTGATAGGACTCATTAATTTGTCTTGTTGTACATTTCAGTGCAGTTCCAGTTAATTGTTTGGACCTTGAAGAAACATTTTGGTTTGCTACAAATGCCATAAAGATAAAGGCTGTCAGGCAGCTTTGGTTGGATTTTGTCACAGTTAAATGTTTCAGATCATCGAACCAATTTAATACCAGACAAAGACAAGTGACAAAAGTTTCCATATACACAGGTTCTGCATTGTAAAGTTAAAGCAATGTCGTTTTTATGTGATTTTATACGGTGACGCAGCATTTCTGCTCCACATAACAGCCCAAGGTTGAGCTGTCCTAAAGCTGGCTCCTGTTTGTCAGTCTCTCTCCCTCAGGGCACTGGGTCTTCCCACACAGACAGCCAGCAGATACAGATGGACTCCACTTGATACATGGCAGCAAATATTTGCTTTTGCTATGAGAGACAAGCTCTGTGAGTCAGAAAATAGAGAACGACAGGAGAAAAATACACACACAAAGTTCCTTTGCGTCCCCTGTCTCTTGCTGACAGCTTCAGTGTCTGATTGTTTTATTTGCCACGCCAAAATGAAAAATGTCTGCTCAGTTGTTTCTGCAACAGCCAGATTCTCTTTGAACGTGTGCAGATCACACTTTGAACACATTAGCAGACGACACGCAGACGTGGCAATCTGCAAGGTTGCCTTGTGTTTAAGAAACACCAAAACACGCCGCCCTGAAAGGTTGGAAACACAACTGTCTGCATCGCCAAAAGCAAACATTGCTCGCGCATTATGTTGTGTTCGTACAGATGACGGTCTCTGTACAGACGCCCCGACGTTTTTCTGACCGAGAGACATTTGCTCACTCATACAAAGACACGCACAGCTCTGAGTTCCAAGCACTGGTCTCAAATCGAGACTAAATATAGGCGGTGAGGTAGGACCGTCGGTAGTTGTCAGATGAGGTCCCATTATGAGCCTCGGTCTGTGGGGCTCTTGTGTTCTTCCATAATGACCAGCCGCTGCACCTGTCTTTCTGCACATGAGTACTCAGGTCAGACTAAATATAGGAGTGCTCCCCCTCTTTGCCTCTCTTCTCTGTTGCCCCAAAGCTGCACCACTCTGCACAGCAGCTCCCGTTCCTCCCTCCCCCACCCCACCCTTCAGCTCCTTTCTGCTAAAGCTCCCGGTTGGAGCAAAGTAGGTGCAGGAGGTACCGCTGCCAACAGAGTCGCATCGGCTCTCATCTCGTCCCCTTTTATAGAAACATGATGACATTACAGTCGGGCAGGAATGACAAACGGGGACCAATTGGCATCAGGGAGGTGGCCATCAGACATTACCCAATTTGATTTTAGGACTGAAGTCTGTCTCTCATAAAACTATATTTAGAGCACAAAGTAAGGCTCGGTTAGTATCCAAGCAAAACAAAATATCATGAAGTATTTAAACTCTTTACTTTATAATCATTTAAAATGTTGGTTGTGTTCAATCTGTTCTGATGAAATTTGCATCACCCCATTAGACATGGCAACATTTGCTTTTCAAATTTTGCCATTTGAAGCCAAACAAATTGATATAAAAATGTTTTTAAGACACTTTCTGTCTTGTCGGCTTTTGGAGAAATTCTCGGATTGTTTTAGTAAATGATCTCGTCTTTACAAAACTTTATGAACTGGTTCTTCAAATCATAGTGACTGAAGGAAATCAATTATGAAAACAAGCAACAAAACAGATAAATACGAAATAATTTGATGTTTCACTCATGGCCATTTCTTCTTCCTTTGAGCAGAACTTTATGAGAACAGTTCGTTCACTAAAAACAAAATGTTTTTTTTTTTTCAAGGTACAAAAAAACCTTGATAACTTATTTTTTGTATAGATTCATGAAAAGCGGCCAAATAGCCAATTTCATAAATGGCTCAATTATTTGTTATCCTGTTGCGACTACAATCTTCAAGATGTCTGCAACAGATATCCAAACTAATGCAAAACATTTCCCTGCCAAGAACAGACAATGCACTTTGGTGGGACATGCAAGGGTATTTGTCCATCTTTACAAGCATTTAGCAAACACAAACACACTTGCGTAGTCCTCCACAAGATGACAGGAAATGCTGACTGGCCAGGTCTCGCAGCCTAATAAAACCCGTTTGCTCCACTTGGTATTAACAAAAATCTCAGTTTAGTTCAATACATTTCAGATACACATTGCCAAAGCTCATATTGTTTGTGTTTATGCAACTACTCTCTTACATCAGCACTGCATTTATTTCAGCTGCTTGTCTATCTCTAGGACATGATTTACTGCAATATAAAGTGCATCCTTCTGCCATAAACCGTCAGCACCTAAATCGCCTTAACGTAACCAGAACTGGTGCTTCAATTACAAAACCCTCATTCAGATGGAAACAAATAGCTTTTGGCTTTCTCTAATGGGCACTTTGATTACCTTTATGCTTGTAGCGATGAGCCATTAACTAAATACAGTTGATTAAGTGTGCATATACCACATGCTACTACCCAAATAGTTACTGCTGCAGTCCGACGTGTGTAAATGGCTTCACACTGCAGGCCAGCTTTTGATTAATACGTCGGGGCCAAACGGTCCAATAAATGCATGCAACACTGACCTTAAGGTGTTGCTGGCAGAACAAAGAATCGCTTTTATTGTTCCAACACTACCCAGAGAGGAAGACGTGTGCAAGCGCCAAGCTTCCAGCTACTTTACAGTCACCTGATTGACCCAAACGTGATGCATTAAGCGGCGAAAAGGTGTCGAAAACAAATGTACGCATGCCAAATAAACCACATACCAGACTGAGCGACAGCTTTATATCTGGAACCGTTTTACAATGAAGCACGAGTGTTGATCCCTGCAGCGCAAAGACACTCGAAAACAGATCCACGTAGATTGCCTCATTAGTATATTTATACTCTTTAAACATTTTTTATATATATATTTAGCAATATTATATTAATGTTGATGCATTTCATTGTAACTTAATGTGACAGACCAACACAAGGTGAAAGGAAGATAGCATGTTTGTTATTTTTCTTTTCTACAAATGCGTCATGCATTTGAATTTAGTCCTCATGCTACAAAACTTTGTATAACAAAGGAGAAACGAAACACGTTGACCTGATGAAAATCCTCTCCTGTCAACTGCAGGATGTTTTCCTTCTTCCATACATCATCTTGTCAACTCTGACCAGCTTCCTTATCCCTGCTGAAGAACATCCCCACAGCATTATACTGCCATGACTATGTTTCGCTATTGCAAAGTGTGTTTATGAAAATGCAGTTAGTTTTCTGCCACACACAGAGCAAATCTGTAGTTTGACCATCAAATAAAAACCATAGGCGTCAACGACGCAAGATAATTACGGGTGGATGGCATACCGCTTGAAACATTTAGAGAAACTCAGTCTAGCTTTCATTGTGCTGCATCCCCTAAATGCTTTTATTAGCTCCCTATGAGTTTGTGATAAGCAATCAATCTCCCAGTTTCATGCCATGTCTGGTGTTTGCACTCCTTCTGAAAGTCTAATAAAGGCTCAAGGTGATGATTTCCATTTTGGCCAACAGGAAAACAGCTCATCTGCTCCATGGGAATCTGTCCACAGCACCAGCAGCTGCATAAAGATTCAACAAGAGAAATTTTTCTGAATGTATCTTCCCTGCCCCCTCCAAATCTCAGAGTTTGTTTCAACTCTATTAAAGAAGGAACTTATCCTTTAAAGAATATTAATTCCCTGGAGCAAAGTGGGAATATTACTGTCAGTCATATTATGTTTTCCTTTTCCTTTCCATTCTGCGGCTGACAAAATGCCCAATACTGCAGGCAGTAAAAACATCTGCAGTGCCTGCACCCTGGAGGAGAACGACTTTCTGTGGTAATAAAAGATGAGATGGAGTGATTAGAGAAATGCCAGCGAGTTGCTGTGAGGGATTTTGGTTCACTCCTTTTCCTTACAAATGCCATTCATAGTAACTTTTGACTGTAGTGAATGCGTCCACTAGCCGAATCTTGGCAGAAACACTTATCTCCTTCTATTGAAAAAAAATGAAAAAAAAAAAAAAACTAAATGAAAAACTCCAATAATGTTTTTGTCAGATAGAAACATTACTGTCCTACATCTTCATTTCCAATTCTCAGGTTACCAGTGATGCAGGCAGCGTGTAATCAGAAATGGGCCAAAACATTCTGCTGATAAAATTGACTACACCACAGCGCACTCTGTGGCCTCCTCTCCCCCGTCTCTGTTACCCTGGAAACTGTTGTCCATGTAGGAAGGAGCAATTCTATTACAGCGACGATACGACCAGCCAGCAGATAGAACCATAAAACGTGACTTAGCGGTTAAGAAAGAACGAGGGGAAGCAAAGATGAAAACCGCAAGGGAAAGGAGCAAAAAAACAAAAAAACAAACAAGAGCAAGAGTTGAACAAAGATTAAAAGAAGAAAGGGCATTAGAGGTGGTGAGAGTGATCAAAAGAGGTGTGAGGAAACATAAAGACAACGTGCTGGAGATGGCGTCCAATCCTCTGATGTCCCCCAAGTCTCACAGAAATGTAAGGAAGTTTCAACATTTACTTAAGAACAAAACAGG